CATGCTGTAGGCATTACAGGTACTGCGCTTGAGTGGTGTGTATCATATCCATCTAATAGACTCCAATTTGTGCATGTAAATGGAGAGTCCTCTTCACATGCTAAGATTAATCATGGAGTTCCACAGGGTTCAGTGCTAGGACCAATTTTATTTATATTATACATGCTTCCCTTAGACAGTATTATCAGAGGGAATAGCATACATTTTCACTGCTATGCAAATGACACCCAACTCTATCTATCCATGAAGCCAGATAACACACACCATGTAACACTGCTTCCATGTAAAATAGAACGTCAGCCTTCAGCTAGCTGTATAATTTAAACATGTAGCAGACTAAGTTAACAGTTCATCTGCAAATTTTAATACAACTTCTGGAGGCTTATGCAGATTTTCCTCCATGTAACACAAACAGGAGTGGGCCGAGCAGCTGCAGAATTTGCTTTTCTTCATGTTGAAATGTGTTAGCTGCTTTGACGAAGGACTCCCGCTCGCTGTTTCCCAGTAAAGGTTTTAATGGTGATCACAGGAAAAAAAAAATGTTGATCATAGGAACAGCTGCTGTGGATGGTGGAAACACGTTTTCTACCACTCAACCTGAGCTCACCAACTCAGTAATGGCTCTGCCTCTTTGCAGTGTGTAAACAGACTCCCTTCCACGTTAAACTGCTCCAGCATCATCATTACTTGTGTTATTAATTCTATTTAAAACTGGGGGCTGTCAGACTTTTTATTCATGTGCTACTCATAAATATGTTTCTATTGAAGGTCTGTTTTTGATCGCAAATATGGGTGAAACGCTCACGTTTCCATGGTGACAATGGCATGTTAAATGGCTTAATTTCCACTAGTGTCTACCCAACTTGATAGAGTTTCCAGTTAGGTGGTAGAACCTAGTGCCGGGTACTTTTTTAGTACATACTTGGCCAGGGATTCAAGTGAGCTGAGTTGAGCTGAAAATGTGACATCAGTAGACTACATGCCACTTGGCCAGGGAGTGAGGTCACTGGATAAGTCATAACAGCGACTCGTTCACAAGAATCAAACCCGTCATTTAAGAAAATCAGCAACGAGGAAGAATGGCTGCACAAAACCCAACAACATGGTCCAACGATGAGCTGCAGACATTTACCCTCAGTTTAGCACCAGGTCTACAATCTCCTCGCTGTCCTTCACTGATGACAATCTCACCCACACTAAGGTGGTGCTCCACTGTAATGGAAAACAACCGAAACGATCCAGTCTAGGTGAATTGAGTTGAGCCGAGTTGGTGATAGTGGAAGAGTGGTTTTGGTGATACTACCTTAACCTTTCATGAATATTATTATTGAGTTTACAGTACAATCATCACGTTAATTTACTTTAAGATATTTTCTCTAAATACGACTAAAAACAGCCAGTGATGACTTCCTCCTGAGCTTGAGGGCAGTTTGGGGCCTTTCACATGTCTGTGCCCACGGCCCTGTTTTTTTTCCCAGGGCGGCCCTGTTTTTTCCCAGGGCGTCCCTGTGGGGAAAGCCTTCAGCCCCATCTTATTCTCCCACCTGAAACCTTTGACCTTTAACTGCTGCTTCCTCATCTCTTCAGTTTTAGAAATATGCTTCATCATCGTGTTGCAAAAAGAAAATAAAAAGAAGCTGTTAAGTCTTACAAAATGTCTACAGAAGGAAGTGTTTCTCTCAGTTCCTCTTTCGAATAAAACAGACTCGTTTGACGCTCTGTTGCTTGGAAAGTTTGAAAAGCAGCAGAAATCACCGTTTATCCACACTGTAGGTCCACAAACAGTGAAAACAGGCTGTGACTAAAACCCTCTTCAATCCCACACACGGGAAAACAAACCACGTTCATGAAAAAAGGAACAAAACGGACTTTCCGGGTATTTACAGAGAGGCTCAGTGGAAGCCTTTTTACCACCTTATTAAACTCTTATAATCCCCGACTTCCAACCGTGTGTGTGTGCGTGTCCTTGTTTTCTCACCTCCTCCAGAGCTCCCACCGCGTTCCTGCAGTGGCCCATCCGGGTAGTGAAGTTGGAGGTGGTTGGAGCTTTGTAGTCTTCATTGGTCTCGTCGATGAACTCCGTGACGCTGATCAGCTCCGGCATGGTGAGCTCCGGCAGACGCAAACTGACCGGGGGCGCAAAAATCCCGTCAAAACTGCCGCAGTTATCGCGCAGCCGCAGGTGGAGCAGCCACACCTGGACGCCTCAGAGTGCCCGCAGCGTCACAGCCAAGATCCTCTGCTGTTCCCGCACGCGCCGCTGCTCATAGTCATAGGAGGAAGAGGAGAGGTCCGACCTCCATGTTTGTCCCGCAGCACGAATCACCGACAGCACCGACACATTCCAACACCCTCAGCTGCTTCACCTGAGCAGGAAGCGCACGGAGAGGGGCGGGGACACTGAGGGGGGCGGGGACAGAGAAGGGAGCTCCCACCCTGCTGCTGTTTCCGCAAACCACAAACACACGCACACACAAAACACCTACACACACAGAGACACACACTCACACAGTATTTTCACAGTCCTATCAGGGTGGGACTGGAACAATATGATGTTTAAAGTGTGAGGTCCTCTAAATTTTTACAAACGGTGTTAATGAGACACGGTTAAAAGAACACCATAATAATACATAATACAAAAATATAATGCACCTTTATTTTTAACCCTTTGGTCAGCAGTGTTCTCACTTAGCTGCAGAGAACTATATTTACCATTAATATTTAGAACACTCAGACATCCCCCAACACACACACACCATAAAAGCAGGAACACTGAAACAACGAGGAAGCTGTGAGGCTCACCAGCACACAGCCTTACTAAAAACGTCTAAAGGCCCTCTCATATAGGACACGGCATGCGCTGCGCTGACCGCTAGCTGGAGCGAAGGACCCAAACTTTCGCTGACCGCAGCGCTCTGTTTGTACATCATTTTCTGCTCTTTCAAAACATGTATCTGACTTTATATCTTCCACGAGAGTTTGTGTAGTATTATGTTCAAATGTTTAATAAAAACATGTATCTCTCATTCATAAAGAAGAAAGCTTTTAACTAGTGAAGAGTGTGTCGTTTCCACTACACTGCTTTCCTCCAGGTCCGCAGCCGTTGGAAAGGCTCTGGAGGTCCCCATACATATACGTAAACTTGTGTCATTTTACAAGGCGGGCCACATCCAGCCCATTCTGATCTTATGTGGGCCGGACCGGTGAAACATTCTTTCTGCCAGTGCACAGACGTTTAACTACACATTTAATCCCTGAGATTAAATAAAAAATGAAAAGCTCAACTCTTTGCTTATTTTAAGAAGTGAACGTGTAAAATCACAGAAATCTGTAACTTCAGGCTGTTCAGAGTGTACCCCCATCTCTCACTGACCCTGACAAGGAAAAACAGAAGATAATGGATGGATAGATACAACTTCATTACTTTGCTGTAGCATGAATGGCCACTGATCTGTATCAGTAGGAATAGCTGTAAAACTTGTGAAAATCTCTGTTCACACTTTTCAAATTGATTGAAATCTTTGCCGGGCCGTTTCTGGTCCCTGGGCTGTATGTTTTACAAGCCTGGTCTACACTGTGATGAACTCAAACAGGCATCACTGACGTGAACAGGTGACATGTTTAATCAGGTGACTTCACCAAACAGAAAGCATAAAAGCCTTCCTGTCACACTGAGGTAAATCCTGTCTGTGTGCTGATCATGTTAAACGAAGAGAAAGGCTCTGAGCCTGAATATCCCTCAGTCTGAACTCCAGCAGGCGGTCCTGACCCAGGAGCTGCTGCCATGTCAGACTAATTACATTTTTGCTTTAACATACAGTTGAACAGATGTGCCTAATAAACTGTCTGTGTGCATTTGTGTGAGATCCACGCATGCTTTCAGACCTGTGCTGATATCTTTGTCAGTCATCTCCATCTAGTGGACAGATGGTAGAACTCGATCATCTGATGTGGTTTCTGACTCAGGTGAGGTTGTGTTTGAGATGTGTCAAACACATCTGGCTCCATGTTCACGGGGAGAAGGTTCTAGATTCAGCATTGTTGGTCTGCATGTCAGCCTCTTAGGTGTACACTGAGTCCTGAGTGTCAATCAGAATTGCACTTTATATATTTCTCTGTTCCCGTGTGGATGAGTTCTGTGTCCAGAGCTGTGAGCCTTTGTTTCTAGAGCCTCAGCTATGGACACGTTGCTCTACTTCATCCGTTACTTGTTTCTCATGACCCTTCTTCACCTTTTGTTAGTTAACCAACTATCAGCCTTGCAGGGATTCCTGATTTTGGCTTCAGCCTTCCTCTCCATGGGAGACTTCCTAAACCTGTATCCTTGATCCTAAACCCAAGTGCTTCCAGAATTACTGTGAGGTTGGAGTACATGAGCTCAGTGGATTCAGTGATGGTGCACAGAGCAGTGTTCACATCTCCTCTCACAGGACTGTCAGTGAGCCAGCGGAGTACGGTTGGAATCAAAGTTTAAAACAGCCAGATGTGATAGAAGCTGATCAGCAGACCTGCAGAGGGTCCGAAATAAATACTTAGACAAATGTTATTAAAGAATCGAGCTGAAGGAGGGGCATGTTCTGGGCATGTCCTAATGGAAGTGTCAAGGACTTTTACTTTGAAAAGAAGAAACTGGAAGAAGGCTCTTTGTGTCGAATGAGTTGGGTTTCCTGTACAGTTTGGGTAAACAGCAGACAATCAGAATCAGAACTAATAACATCAGAATCAGACTCACCTAGTCACCCAGTTAGACATGTTTATCATGTCTAACTCTATTTAAACCAGCTGATTACCAGAATCTGAGGAGTGACTGAAGGTACAAAGAGATCTCAATAACCAGGTATTTAACCGTGAAGACTGTGACCAACTGTACAGACTCTGAAAGCTGTTAACATCAAAAATGGTTGGTTGCTGATGAAATGTTGATCATGATTATCTGACGTAATCAGGAACACTGTGAAAAAGAGGAAATAACAATGGTGTGGAAAATCCCACACAGGTTGTGAAGACGCAGAGGACCAGGAGGGTTATTAATATTATGTCACTTATTTATGTGCAAATGCTTAATAATTAAGAACATTCAAACATTACTGTTGGCCACATGTTGGCAAAGTTATGTGACATTAGCGAGTACTAACTTGGTTTTAAAGCCTTTACTTTAAAATATACTCCGTTCAATAGTTGACCTTAATCTTACAGAGAATGTGACAATTTTATGGATAATTAAAGTCAGTCATATATACACAAACACAACAAGCTGAAAGTCAGTGATGCTGCTCGGTTTGCAGTCCTGAATATCACGGCACAAGCAGGATTCACTGCACTGTTAATGTTAGCTATGTTATATTGCTGCCTCTGTTCGGTGGCCAAACGGACTTTAACATGTGTTTGAACGAGCTGACGGTTCACTCGTTAAGCTGAAAGAAAGATGCTTTAATCACGGGAGTCGCACATGTGTCCACTGTACCATCTGGGAACTCTTCTTGTTTAGCACTCGTAATAACACAAACACTAAATCCTCCTTCTCTTGTGCTGTTTTGTAGCAGTGTATACACCTGAGACTGTCACTTGTCTGTCTGTCCTGCACTCTCTCTTTTTTTCTTTCTCTCTGATTGTGTAATAAATGTCACGGATCCGGTTCCAGGGACTCGGAGTCCGTGAGCAGTGTGGACTACTATTGTAGTTATTATTATTATTATTATTATTATTATTATTATTATTATTATTATTATTATTATTATTATTATTATTATTATGGTTGTGTCTGCTGTCCTGTGTTCCGTGTTTGTGTACTGTCAGGTGTTTATGGGTGTGTGCGTGTGTGTGAGGGTGCGGTGGTGGCAGGCACTTTTAGGCCTGGTGGGTGTGACCCTGCCAGCTGACCGGTTACACCCAGGAATCTACACACACCTGGCGCCGATCAAGCCTCGTCAGAGGAGCTTCAAAACAGTGTGGCTGAGAGCTCCTCGACGCTGGATCGTTGAGTGACTTCCCGTCAGTCTAAGTTTAATGTGCAAGGTTAGTGCAAGTCTGCCGTTAGGTTTTGTACTCACAGCTGCCTTTTGTATGCGTGTTTCCCCAGGAGGAATTGTGGCGACCAGGAGGCAGCACACGGACAGTACACAGGGAACGGAGACAAAGCACGGAGCACGGGATAAGGGAGAAGACACGGAATGGGAGTTGGGATCGCACGGGGGATTTATTGTTGTTTGGATTTTCACCACTGTAAATAAACGCACATGCCTTCATCATCAAGTCCTGCATTTTGGGTCCTCATTCCTCATTTCCCTACGGTCTGCCACACAGACCGTGACAATAAAAGTATGAACATGTATTTATAAGTTACACTTGTGTTTGAATCCTGCAGCTTATCACACATTTGATTTTCATGTGTGAGACAACTGCAAGTGTCCAGAGTGAGGACAGACTGAGGGACCCACTGCTGCACATCATCTGTGAGGCTTTGCACCCCTGATGATCCACCAGGACAAACTCAGCAGTGTGTGAGGAAGAGGAGGAGGAAGAGCCAGTAGCAGCTGACAGATGGAGAGAATAGACAGACTGTTCCCTGTTTGTGAAGGACTGCTAGAAAAGTTTAAAATAACTAATTGTCTGTTCTGAATCAGTCTTATTAGGTAATGTTCAAATTTCAGGCGAGAATGTAGCTGTGTAAACTTCAAATATCTGCTCGGTTTGTCAAGACATCACATATTTGCAAAAGTGCTCCAAAGTTTTCAGAGACGTCTGTTACCCACGTGCTCGATAGCTAGCAGAACAGCAAACTCCTGGCACATCATTTTCAAACCCCCTGCGGTCTGTCGCTACTCAGGTTAAAGGTGATATATAAGTCACTTAGATAACTTAAAAATGTTATTGTTTGACTTTTTTCAGTGTTTTATTTGTTTGTGAGTAAATTGGTTTCCCTGAGATTACAGCTGAATAAACGTCAAACTGAAAATTGATTAAACAGAAGTGTGAGATGTTCGAGAATTTACGCCAGTGTCCTGTTACATTTTAGATAGTTACTGAGGCCCGCAAGGGACACTGGAGAAAAAAAAAAAAATCAAGATAAACTTTTACAAGATCTTGCAAAAGTTCATCTTGATTTTTTTTCTCCAGTGTCCCTTGCAGGTCTCCCTAACTTTGTCTTGTTGCATGTGCATGATGTTCTCTTGTGGGACCTCTCTTGACCGCAGGAAATGCTCTAAATCCTCCTTCATGTCTACTCCATGGACCTTTCAGTATGGACGAAACAGAACCACTATCAAAAAGTAGCAGGATCTTTTGCGAGCTCCCGTGTTACTTTTGCCAGATCTCACAAAAGTAACTCGGGAGCTTGCAAAAGTTCATATTTATTTTTTTATTTT